AGAAGGGATGATAATAATATAATATATAAGAATAAAGCAGAAGGAATGATAATAATATTATTATAAATATAAATAAAGCTGTAGGAATGATAATGATATATAAGAATAAAGCAGAAGGAATGATAATAATATTATTATAAATATAAATAAAGCTGTAGGAATGATACTGATATATAAGAATAAAGGTGTAGGAATGATAATGATATGATGTATAAGAATAAAGGTGTAGGAATGATACTGATATAATATATAAGAATGAAGCTGAAAGAATCATCATGTTATAATCACTGATTGATTAGGAATAAATCTGAAGGAACAATCATATTCTAATATAATAATAAATGATAATTATTAACTTATATGATAAATAAAACTAAATAGAGCAAGGGGAATGATAATGTATAGTATATAATAAAATTGCAGAAGAAATGATAATTTTTTAATATATGTTAGGAAAACCAAGGGAATGACAATCTTATGATAGGAATAAAGCTGAATGAGTGATAATGTCATAATACATGCACGGGATAAAGCCAAGGAATGATAATGTTAAAATAATGGACAAAGCTAAAGGAATAGTCATGTTGTAGTGCATAAGAATATAGCTGACCGGATGATAATTATATAAGCATAAAGCTAAAGGAACGATATTCTTATAATAGGAATATGATAGGAATTAAGGCATGGCAATGCAGCAATGTTGATTGTAAACACTGCAAAGAATATCTTGAGATTCAGTCCATGGCACCAATAGGAAAACATTTGTTTACAGTACAATTGGCCACCAGAATAAACATTGAGAGAATAATCATATTGGTTGTTACATTCTGTTAATTACAAATCCTCTTCCCATTCTTAACGGGATCTTCCCATGGTTACGATATAAGATCCTATCCACTAGAAGGATAAAAAGCATAATCTCTCCGAAGCGTAACAGGGCTCCATGTGTAGCTTCCTAGGGAGCGGAACACTTGAATCTGAGAATCTATTTGGGTTTATTATGCTGCCTGTTGAACTTTTTAGTAAATGTGTGAATGTGTTTTAATGCTAGTTAATCACAAATTCTTATTTTGTCTGAAGAGAAAAGATGACTTCTTTAGGTTATAAGGGAAGTCTGGCCAAATTCTCTCTTCCCAATTCAAGTCTTATCCCCCACTGTGGCTATAATCTGATAAGCTGTTTATCATATTAGACGTAAAGAATGACTGTTTAAAGCTCATCAGTTTGATAAAAGTTGATTTTATGTGGACGTTATTTTAGTCATTAAACATAAGTCAGCTTCAAGTATGAATATATTTCTTAGTTCAACAGGGGCTTTGTGTATGAATACAACTTCTTTAGGATAAGGGGAGTTGTCTAAAGTTAAATTTTGGCTAGTGTTAGATATTTTCTAAATATTCTCAGTTTTCATGTGTTCGTCGGATAAAGGAAAATACCTTGGGCAGGTCCTGCGTCTATCGGGTGGCATACTAAACTCTGGCGGTGGGACTAGCTGTGGGATTGGGACCATAAAGTGATAGCATTGTGTAACAACCATTTGAATATTTCTTTTGTTGTTTATTTTTTTTCTTGAACATGAAAATATCCAATGCTTTTTGGATTCTATTTCGTTCACATGAAATTTGATGATTGTGATTTATATATTGATATATGATAGTATGATTGTAATTATTTGCCAATTCAATTTTCAATGATATATGCCGAAAATGAATTTCAATTGATACTATATACAGTCTAACTTGTATTAAACAGCCAGTCAAGGGAATGCTCAAAAGTGGCTGCTTACTAAGGGTTGGTGAAAATGTTTTCATTTTACAAATTAATAGTATGGGGGTGTAGTTTAATTTTACAAATCCATTCTTTTTACCACAAATATTGATTCTGTGGTTAATCTAGTCTTTTATTGAAAACTTGATATAGTTCGTACTTTAAAGTATATGATACGTGATGTTGTTTTATTGATGACTTGACCAAGTTTTCTTTTAATTTCACCTTGATATCTGTAAAATTTCATAAATCCATACTTTAATACCACAAATATTGATTCTGTCGTTAATCTTTTTCTCTTTTGGAAAAAGTTGATTTATCTCGAAATCTTGATTTAGGTAAGGTAATTTTTGATTATCGATTTTAGAATCAGAATATTTTAGAACTCTCATTAACGCTTCTTGATTACTTCTAAATTTCACTCTGAAAGGTTTCAATTGACTTCAATTATTGAATCTGTAGTCAAATTGAACCTTTATTTTGAACAATTCGGTTGGAAAGTCCGAAGGTGATTATCTTGACCTATGTCGAGATTGAACCCTGGACCTTTAGATATTGATATTCGGTATTTGATTACAATCGAGAATGGTTGCATTTTGAATTTTTTGAATGTGGAATATATAATTCTGTGGTCTGTAAACTTTAGGAATTTATTTTGGAATTATTTCCTCTTTACCTGCATTCTCCAACAAGTACTAATCCTAACTCTACACCTAACCCTAACACCTTTACACATAGATTCCTAAATTTTATAGACCATAGAAAATACCAAAATCTTAAAATTGTGCTCTTCGTGTTTGATATATTCTAAAATAGGTAACCAATCTAGATTGTTCAAAATTTTCGAATTTATTAGAATTTTTTTATTTGTAATTCCAAATTGGATTTTCAAGTTTATTACCAATTTTTCTTGTCATTTCAAATTTAGAAATTTCAATCAAAATTCTGTTTTGGGTGAAAAAATATCTATAAATTTACTTTGTTCTAAGAGATAAGAGAAAATAAATTACTATAACCAATCATATTTCTAAATATATCTGCGTATGTATTAGTCTTAATTCTGGAATTTCTGGAAACATGACCTCCTCTCCTATTATATACATATATGGATTTCCTAAATAATTGGCAGGTGACCTCAAAATAGTGGGTATTGAATTGATGGTATATTTGTTAAATAGTTAGCACTTGTTTTGTTATATATTTGTAGATATGAGACAAGAAGAAAATGACAGAAAGTTTGAGTTGAAATTGATGGTATATATCATCCAAACATGAAAGGAAAAATCATTGAAGTTGCTTCAAATACAAATGAATATGTTGATATATTATGATATATATTGTGTATAATTTAGAAATTAAAAGTATAAAATGTGGTGTTTTTATTGAAAATAAAATGAAATTGTTGCTGTCTATATAAAAATTTCAAATCTTACTGAAATTATGAGTCCATTTGCATACACAAAATACACTTACATTGTCATTCAGCCCTAATCAAATGGACTTATCAGTCCTTTGTTATAATTCATTGGGCAAATTTATAAACCATCTTCATTATATGAAGAATCCTAATCCTAAAAATAGATAATAACATTGGCATAAGTGGCAAGTTTGGCCTAAGTCATTTGTGTTAATGTAGAAGCTTTCATAGTAGTTTTCTGGAATTATCTTCAACTAGATCAACCAAGTGAAGGGAAACTCTGGATAGCCTTTGATGCTGAAATGAAAAGAAAATATTTTCTACATATTTATATCTTTGTAGAGCTTTCAAACGCCATACCAAACGATCAGCAATTCAGAATCGTTTTGGCCAACATAATGTCCATGTTTCGAACTATTCGAAAACTAAACCTTAAACAAAATGAAATTGTTCGAGAGAATTTCCACTGGCTGTTGATATAGAGTCAAAATTGTACTTATGGTCACTTATGGAGGGATATCTGGTTTGCCCGAAATTATCTCACGATTTTATCTGGTCCAACTTTGAAATTTTTCCTGATCAAAATGACTAAAAAATGGCCGATTTTGGCCGTTTTTTTTTTTGCGTTTCAATACGACTTTTTGTAGCTGCCCCTGAAGGCGAACAGTAACTGCTACAGGGTTGCGCTTTGGTGGGTGGGTAGCCAATGTCTGATTCTATACGGCACAAAAAACCAGGATGCTTTATCTGAATTAGTTCCGAAGTTACAGCCGCTCAAAGTTTGCCTTTTTTTCCCCCACATTTAACCCAATTTGCACAGTTTTTCGACTCTAGTTTTTCTCCAAAATGCAGGAAACAACTTTGAATCGAATTTCCGATCTCCCCGGGTCCCCCCGGATCGATTTTAGTCAAAAAAAGAAAATATAATTATAAATATTTTTTTATATTATACTCTTATTTTTTTATTGACTTTTTAATCGTCGTATTATAACTGTTTATTTGTATAATAAAGTTTGTAACAAATACAACTGAAATATCAGAAGGCGTTTTGTTAACGGGCAGGTCGAGTTTTTTAAATATGGGCAATCGTTGGCCTGATGTCCAAACCTACTCATGGGTACTGTAGGCTCGTTTACTTGAAGGGATACTCAAAAGGAAGGTAACTATTGCAAAGCAGATAGTAGCAAAAGTAATAGCCAACTGTAGTGTGTATTCGCCTACTGTATACTTTTAGAAATCATATGTAATATATTTTTGGGGTCCATTACCTATGCTACGGTATGTACCAGGGAATGCTTGGCACTTATTATTATCAGGAGATAATACATAGTAGCAAAATTAAAAATAAGAAAGCATAATTGAAAAATTATGATGAAACATCTAGCAGAGGTTTTCAACCTTTTTCTCCCTATTAACCCTTTTAAGGCTCCCTGATTGCACCGCCCCCTTCCCACTATCAATCTTTTCTATTTCGTGATTCTGCCACCGCTTTCATGTCAGAGAATACAGTCTGACTGAATAGAACGACTTAAATTATAATTGTCAAAAACTTTTATACTAGACTATAAAGTGTCTCGTTACCCCACAAATATTTCAAATTATCATCAGACTGAAAAGCTTTGCCATAAAAATTTATTGAAAAATACGCCATCAAATCGACCAGCTTGTCATTTTCACCCATTTTCTATTCTTAAGTCGATCCGCGGAGATTTAATATTTTAACACGTGTTTATCCAGACGTTAATAACAATAAACATTAGGAGAAAAGAGCGGTTAATAGAGTCTATGTTTATAAATTATTTGGTACACGTGAAAGAACTCTTTGAACAGATTTTTGACTATTTCAAAACAAAATGCCGTTGATATTAATGTGTGGATTTCCGTCTAGTGGTAAAACGAAACGAACACAAGAACTCAAACAATACCTCAGTGAAAATGAGCCTAATAGAGTAGTTCACCTTGTCACCGAAGATGTCGATTTATCAAAGAATGAATTATATGCAGGTAAAATTTTTGACTCATTTCAACATTTTTTTCAAATTCTTGCTAGGAATATATTTTATTATTAAAGCTAACAATTCATACTTTGTAGACGAAGCGAGTAACTTCAGTCAGTCGCCATTTTGTATTATTGCATTATCTAATCTTACGGATCAGGATAGGAATATGAATACCTCTTTATATTGTAGATCCTCAAAAAGAGAAAATTTCAAGAGGAAATATGAAATCATCAGTGCAAAGATTATTAAATAAAGAAGATTTTGTTATTCTAGATTCTTTAAATTATATTAAAGGTAAAGGGAAGCTTTTGACTATTTTCGCTCATGATTGTTTTATGTTTCAAATGGCCAGTCTAACTTTTTCAGTAGGTTAGAAAAGTTAAAAGATTTTCTAATTTTTTTTTAGGTGTATCGGGGTTTCGCGATAATTTTAGTGGAATTGCATGAACCACAGATTTAGTCTGATTTAAATTTTGAATCGGTTGATTTTGAAGCTATCAGTGTCCCCTATACACATAAACAGAATTAGAAAACCTCTATACATTCCCTTTAATTGCACAAATTAATAAACACTATACACCAAAATCTAGAGAAATGTGTCCCTTACTTTACTTGAATTACTTTAAAAAGAGTACCTTGTTGATGTAGGAACGTAAAAAGAATTTGAAAGGTTTACGTAAACCAATTTACCACGTTGTTAATAATGAAACATGAGCGTATTGATATATCACACTTTTCAATTCATTTATTTAGTTAAAAGCTACGCCAAATAAGAAAGTACAAGTATATACAATTTTGTATTTAGGTTACCGATATGAATTATTCTGTGTTAGTAAATCTTGTCAAACCCCACACTGTGTTGTAAGTATTTGTGTTTATATATTTTGATAATTCTTGTGGAAGAATTTGATTTACATTACCAATGTTATCTCCCTTCTATCGCCGACTTAAAAAAATAGGTATATCATAAGAATCGTGGATTGTTGAAACACGTTCTGTTCTCGTTCTTCGGCTCTTCCGAAAATCTGGATGATCGTTCGTCGTAAGTGAGTTAATTATTGTTTTTGGACACAAAACCCGCTATACCACAGATCCAATAATTTGCAAATCTTTTTGTAGCAAGTTTAACCCTTTGATCTGCCCTCCAACACACCGTATATTTGCTAGATTTAATGACTATTTTGTCACAATTGCCATTTTTCCTATGTTTTTTGTTTGTTTTAGATATTATGTGATATTAGTCCAGAAAATGCTGAAAGATTCAACAAATCGCGGCCAGAAAGTGAACAATATGATGATAAAATGTAAGTGATTGTACAACGTTGAGAAGTCTTCAGCTAGTCGTAAAGCTGGCATAAGTCCATTTCGAATCCCTTTCATGGCAACTTTGTCATCACTAGAATAAATCTGAAGTCTTTTTTTAGTTTGGAAGGTTTAATACAGAGATTTGAACCACCGGTATCAACGAATAGATGGGACAGTCCATTGTTTACAGTACAGATAGATGATACCCTACCATTTCAACTTATCTTAGATAGTTTATTAAAACGTAAACCACCACCACCCAATGTCTCTACACAATGTGTAAGTATAAAGATTAAGGTTATCCGCTATTCTGGCACCATTATCAGATCCGTGGGGACAAACTGGGTGGGGAAGGAGGGGTATATATCTAGAGCTCCACACAATCAAGTCTGGGTACGAGCCTGGACATTATGACAAATAAGTTCTCTGTAGCTTCGAGCTTTGGTGGCGCAGCCTGGAGTAAATGTTTGTTCGTTTCAAAAATTGCAGCTCAGACCTGTTCGTTTCAAAAATTGTTCGTTACCCGACCCCGTCTTATGTCATTGTTAGCAATTACAATCAACGAGATGGCCGCAGATTCCTGCCGATTCCTCAACGACAGGGTCATTTTTTGGGGTGTAAATTAGAACATGGACTATTATTTGTGTCAACTACGATTTTTCAGTCTTCTCGTGTATTAGATCGACTAAATCCAACGATTTGTCAGATGCTCCAAGATAATTTTGCAAATAGAAGTCATAAAGCACGATCTGGTAAATGTCTTGCTTTTTCCTTTATCATTGGCCATAAAGTGTAGAAAAAAGAATATGAACGTCCTCTCTTTTTGATTAGTTCATACCATTAATGTTATTTCAATTCCAAATGAGTTTTTTTTCTCACTCAATGTATGTATCTCAGAAAAAGAATATAATGTGAATTTCATGTATTGTTTAAGCAACCACTATCATCAACCAATTTCCTGTATGAATTAGATAAAAGAACTCAAGAAATAGTTACCGTGAGTAAAATTTATATTATGTATTTTGTGTTAAAAATAGCGAAGCAAACGTTGGAAACACGCAAGTTGGATGCATTAGAATAATAGAAGACAACTGACCTTATAACATGATATCGAGAATTTCCTTTGATCTTTCCCTTGTATAAACGAGTGGGAGGAGTCTTCGGTGTTCTTAAACTGAGTATAAATGTAGTTAAAGAACGATTTATTATGTAAATCGTATAGAAAGTGGGGAGTGACTAAAGTTGCCTGCACAGATCATTACTGACATATTAGCCACACCTTCATCACGTGCCGCAACGAACAAAAGTAAATTGTATTCATGATAGTCTAAACAATGTAAAAACTAGGTTATGAAAATTAGCACGTACATCAAGCCCCACTCGTAGTCTCAAGTTTCCTTGTCACAACATATAAACTGCGACCAATATTAAAAATTAATTGTTATCAAGTCGCTGGTGGGAACTTGCAGTTTCGGAAAAGTGCTTTGCCTATCATAAAATACCACCCATTACTTTTTAAACGTTAGCATTATCCCATTGCATTGTGCAAGACACACATTATATTATCTGCTTGAGAAAAGTTTATTGCAGTATTTACACGTTTTCGTCTGGGATATTTTGATTACCTTTATTTCAGCCTTTACATTATTTAATGAATTTCCGCAAACTGTTTGTTTAAATTAGGCTTAAATAGTTTAATGTAAAGGTAAAGAGACGAATGTTTCTTTTGTTATTCTTGCAATTGGTATTCTAGACACGAAAGGCAATTGGAATTAAAATGGTTTGATTATAACGGCTATTTGGGGACCACTGCATGCTGTTTAATTTGTTTATCTTTCATTTCCTAAAGCTCAACACAAATGCTTCTAAATGTCATTTTTTATTACTTAGCATGTCGGTAAATGGATAGAATTGGAAATGAAATGAATAGCTTCACTTTTTTTGTGTGTGTTTCTTGAACTATCAAGCAGTGCGCAATGGGGATATAACTTCTATGGTAAAATAACGTACCTCTTATTTGTTGTAAAAAACACTTTGGTATACAGTGTCTCTACATGGGACAGTGGGGGCTTTGTTAATTTCTTACCAGTGAAATTTTAAATGACGTATTGACTTTTGCAATCTACTTTTTTTTAGGAAATAATGAGTAGTCAGAAATTAAGTATTATCGGTGATTCTATATCGATTCCTGGAGCTACAGATAAAGTATCCTTTTCTTTTACAAACAAATAAAGCAATAATTCATATGTCACATATAACTGGCCAGTTTATGTCTATGACATTTAACCCAAAACATCTATATTTTATAAGGATGACAACATAATCACTAAAACGCTATTGTCTTATTTCAAACCTATATTTTGCGCGGATGATATTTGCCCTTTTCATCTGTGTCGAAAGAATATAGCAAATATAAGAAAACAAATTTTCGAAACAGACGTACTTTCAGATAGTTTTAGCTTAGTTTCTTACTGGAATTTTGATCTTTAAACCACGGACTCTTTGATCACGAAACTTACTCAAGTTAAAATGATCGATGAGTTGACATCCCGTGTACAGTTTTTGATGAGATTTTTAAACTACTGTCAATTCAATTCTCTGTTTTATTTTTTGCTGGTTGGTTTCCCCTCGGTTATATATTTATTATCGGATATGACTCGTGCATTGGTTTGGTTTTTTTGTTTAATGAATGATTCTTAGACGTCGTCGCCTCCTTTAAATTAGTATTTCTACTGCTATTTATCCTTTATAATCATATTATATATCTATAGCTTCCTTAATTTATACTTAGATAATATTAACTAAAAACTTGACTATCGGAGAATTACAGAGATATAGACGACAATTTATAACCTATAGTAAAATGCACCCTGTCGACGATTCGAATAAGATATCCAATATGTTTGTACAATACCTCAACAAAAGTTTGCAATAGCCGATCCCTTTTGTTTTTGGATTTAGGAATTTTAATTCTGGATTTAAGAGTTTTAATTCTGGATTTAGGAGTTTTAATTCTGGATTTAAGAGTTTTAATTCCTGATTTAGGAATTTTGAATTCTGGATTTAAGAATTTTTAATTCTGGATTTAGGAATTTTAATTCTGGATTTAGGAGTTTTAATTTTGGATTTAGGAGTTTTAATTCTGGATTTAAGAGTTTTATTTCTGGATTTAGGAGTTTTAATTCTAGATTTAAGAGTTTTAATTCTGGATTTAGGAATTTTAATTCTGGATTTAGGAGTTTTAATTCTGGATTTAGGAATTTTAATTCTTGCAGGTGACATTGTAGAAAAAGAACGCCATTATTATCATTGTCAGAAAAGGATTTTACAAATAGTATTAAGTAGATCATCTCCGGGATTTCTGTATTTTGGGTAATTTCATAGCTATACTTGAAGACCCAATAGTTTGCAACGACCATGCCTTTATTGACTTTAACTCATCTTCTACCTGTGACTTGTGCTTCAGACAAGAATTCCAATTTTTATATCAAGAAAATGGGGATCAACTTACTTTACAAAAGTTGAGTTTGGACGTTTAAGCAAAGGATTAGACTTTTATCAACGCTTAGTCATTCATTTCTGATAAAGATGATATTCCGATCTGCATACGAATTCGAGTTCCTCTAATTGGAATAGATAAATATGATCACCAAAAATCATGGAATATGAAATGTCTTTGAAAATATACAGCGGTATTCATCTTTATATTGAATAAGTCTCAATAAGTGCACTAGACCTTGTCAGTCCAATCGTATATCAGGTTGCTTCTAATAATGATTATAGATTTTCAGTTTCTTTTCATTAAGTGCAACTGCCATAGACATCAAAGATTCTTCTATGATATTATGAAAGTCTGCTGTATTTGGCTTGTAATTAGATTTGAATGATAAAAAGCTAAGGCAAAGAAAAGACACCAGGAAGATCTTTTTGACGTGACAACTAAAAATACCTTGATTATGACGACGGAATGGATACAAATATATTTCCTAGTCATATGGTCATGATTTAAATGATTGTAAACAGCCCTGATTTAGTTGGAAATAGATGAGATACGCTGTCCAAAGTGGTATTTCGATACTTTAAAATGTGGAAATAGAATTTTAAATCCACATCTCTTCTATTCCCTTTAACTCCTTACCAAAAAAACAAAACAAAATGTGATTGTGAATCGAAATTTTATATATATCTCCGAACATCATGTTCATGTTTATTTTTATTGGTGTTTTTTTTTATTTTAAATTGAAAGTAATGATTTATTTCAATTGATGGTTGTCTTTTTGCGTTTACTCAATTTCCATCTGAATATGAACCTATTTATTAGGAATATACTCATTGGATTATGTTGCTGGTTTTCCTTATGTCTGGGATGCATCTGGAGAGTAGGGGGTGGTCGACTCGATCAGACGAAAACTGCATTGCATTCTACTTAAACAAAAACATTTAAAATCACGCGTGCCTATTTTCATTACGAAATACTTACTTACATAATATTATTGATATATTTCCTCATGTGAAAAGTTCAGTAGCTGCTACCAAGGTTTTGCCAGTATGTTGTTTGGATTTAAGGTTTCCGTTTTGAGGCTCGGGTCGTTAGTACTTGGTTTCGATAGGACAAAATATATTTCTTTTAATATATTGAAATAAATTTAATTCAACAATAATATTTCTTAGCATTTATTTTAACTTAAAATGTGAAATAATCAATTTTTGTGACATAATGATAAAACAGAATACTATCATAGAATAGATCTTCAATATCGATGACAATTATTTTGATATTGATATTTAACTGTAGGAGATAACCAATTTTGTCAATCTAAAGAAGTAAGCCTATATACTCATCTATGTTTGTACAATTTAATTTTTTTTAATCATTGCAAAATTGGACCATTCAGATCATATAGCTCCCAAGATGTAGCTTTCGATGGCATGTAGCTGTTTTTGGATATGCTAACACTGGATTTAACAGCATGAAATAATTGTGACGATAATATCTAATATAGGTATATAATGCGGGCACAAGAACGGCCTTGGTCGGCGATTTTTGTCAGCTGTGCGTACAGGAGGAGACACAAAATCTCCAGACGTTCGTTTTCCACTATGTCGATAATCATGTGGATCATGCAAGACTGTTCGTGTTCCCGCACTATTAAGGAATAAGTCATATTAATGAAATTGGCGCAGTGATTGATCATAAGGTTAAATAAACTTTCTTATAACTTACGAAAAAAATTAAGTAAACATCACAACTTAGGCTACAATAGAGAATAAAACAGATGATCATAGGAAAAAAAAAGAAATTCCCCAACTAATTAAGAAATAGGGTTTCTAAGTGAAATCATCTAAATCAGGTAAAAAATGAAAGTTTTTTCAGGAACGAATGGAAAATTTGCGGGATGAATTGCAGTGCTTTTGTGCAGAAGAAATCTTTGAAATTTAGGGCAATACAGTATGACTGATAAAATAACCTATACTATAAATTCATTTAAAGTCAAAAGCAATATAAATAAGATATGATTGAAACGATATGGGAAATTTAAAAAAAGTACACTAGCAACTTCAGTTGCATATATTTGACTGTAATGTTCAAGCAATAGGATAAAATAAAATACATTACTATTTACAAAAAATTATGTACATTAATAGACATAATAGAAAAAACACAATTTTAACAAACAACACGTTTCAAGTTCCGTTTTATATATCTATATTTAAAAAAAAACACAGCACGTATATTGAGTGTTTTATGTATCATTTCCATTGTGGTACAAAATTATCGAACCGCTAAATAAAGCTCTGGAACGGTGACCATTTAAATTTTAAGTTAAGAATTGGCATGCATGGCAATTTCCTTTGTTAACCATTCAATGAAGAAGAGCTCTATACAAAAGGTTCCTAGTAAATTGTAGGTCTAAAGAATCGGAGAACTCGGCAACCTGTTCAAGGTCTTGAGATCAGTCAACTTTGATTTTTAAACAGGAATTATATTTTATGGACGAGCTTCTCGTTCACCAATTAACCATGAGGTAACTATGGCACCTTTACCCTGAAAACACAAAAACCAGTTAATACAGTTTCAATTCAAACTCCAGGCTATCGGGACCAATTACATTAATGGTCAAGGCTCACGTCCAGATCCGTCACGGATGGAAATCAGAATAAAATGCTTCACAGGATTCTTCACCATTGTCTTTAGAACATAATTATTGGCATGGCTCTAATATGAATAGTTGCTTTCGACTATCAAACATTCAATACCTACCTTCATCTCAACAGGTCCTCTTAATTCCAACTCGAATGTACTAAATGTATCTAGAACTGCTCTACATTCTGGGCTTACGTGAATTCGTTGTGCTGCAACAGATTAACATTTATACAATACATCAACAGGTTGTATGGACCAATTTGCGCTGATTGCCATTAAATAAACAATCGCATCGCTATTCTGGTGTTGACGAAGCAGTGCGCCGCTGTATAGACATTTAAGATCTGAAAGGGATGAATCCTGTTGTCTAATGCGCCGATCTCTTTTCGTATGTTCCACATAATTTGTATACGTTAATTTGTAAGTAGAAGCTTTGATGAATAATTTAAGGGTACTTACGTAGTCCGTTTGATTCCATTCTAGAGGCGGTATTTACAGTATCACCAAATAAGCAATATCTGGGCATCTTTTTCCCTACAACACCAGCTACCACAGATCCTATTTATAAGATAATATCAAATCAATAAATAGCAGTTTTCAATGGAAAATGTTGTTATTTTTTATAAGCAAAAAAGAAATAAATCTATTTGGATGTCTCACGTCTTCGATTTGTTTGACTGAAGGTAATTATGCAGTAATGTTTAAAATAGTGATATTTTTGTCCTGAACTATTGATTCATTCAATAGATTGGTGTCCGTAATAATGTTACAGGCGATTAGGTGCACTGTAGTTACGTAAACAATAAAATACACGGTTATTGCTTTCATAGCCGAAACTCTCCCCGCTCTGTCAACAACCGCAAGCTTTTACCTGTATGTATTCCAATTCGTAGCTTCAACTGATCGTTAGGTCGGTGGGATATTCTGAAAGACAAAACTTTATTGAGCAAAGTCAGTGACATTCTGGCTATTTCTCTGGCATGAAGATTACCATTCCTTACTGGAAGTCCTGATACTACCATATAGGCATCACCGATTGTTTCTACCTAAAACAAAAAAAAAACAACAAATTTTATTGCCTGGTGCATCGAAGTAAGTTTACTATTGTAAATATTAAAAAAAATTATATATGATGGACCCTACATTTATAAGCGGCAATTCTTTATTAGCTTGGTTTAAATATTTCAAAAATAATTTGAATGTACCAAGACGCTAAACCATCTCAAACCATTAATGGTTTGGTTTAAATATTTCAAAAATAATTTGAATATACCAAGACGCAAAACCATCTCAAACCATTAATGGTTTGGTTTAAATATTTCAAAAATAATTTGAATATACCAAGACGCAAAACCATCTTAAACCATGATTAGAATGATAAAGTGTTTATATGTTTTAACTGTGAACGAACTTATCGGTTGGTGCATAGCATTATACTAATGAATAACTTACCTTATATACATCATAATTTTCTATAACACAGTCAAATATTGTATACAAATCATTTAATAAATCTACCACCTGAAAATATACATACATTTTACTCTGAATATGCTTAAAAACACAATGTTGTTCGCTTACAATGCCTTATTGCTTTGCTATTTGCTAACTTTCCAACTTGTCGAGTGGACGCGTACTGTCTTAGTTATCTGTAATTGGAGTATATCATTTAGAAATGAGTTTTATAGCCTACTAGCCTGTCTGGGTTAAGTTTGAAAGAATAGTTGCATAAGTCTGCCCTTTTTCGACTTTCCTGTCGAGGATCTTAAAACGTACACAGTCTGTAGCACACTGGCATTCGGTATATTGTCCGATCGCCTTTTCTTTGTCAGCTGCAGACATGTGACCTGTATCACTGACAGATTTCATAATCCGAATGTTTTATCTCTCGACCCATGCCGGAATTGAGCCCTGAAACTTCAGGTTAGTGAGCAAGTGTCTAACTCACTGAACCACCGTGGCTTTGGTATCATTAAGGTCATACGTTTAACTAGTTTACCTGCATGGGTGTACTGGCAGCAGATAGTGCAGTGAAGCCAACAATATCACTAAAATATATAGTGGTATGTTCATAGGATTCAGCCTTTATAGGTTCACCTTGTATTAACTGGGCCGCTATTTTCCTGCAAAACAAATGATATGTAAGGCAATCGTGTCTAAATGTCAAAGCAACCTACACATTGTGGCTAATATTATTGAAAACCATGCAAACAATTGACTAAAATCATATGAAACCCTCAAGGTACTTACTTTGGTAACATCATATAGAGTAAATCTTCGGCACGTTTCTTTTGTTCTAGATAATCACCGGTTCTTTCTTCGACTAAAGCTTCTAAATTATTGGCATATTGCTCCATTCTGGAGAGTAAGTTATCTAAAATATCACCTTTATCACCGTCCCTGAAATAAGATATATTTCATTACTTCTGATTTTCTGAGTGGTACACAATTTGGTTGACTCTTTGTATACTTGCAGTTTACCACAATTGCAAAAATGAAACCATTTTTTATAAACATTTTTCAAGTTAAAGTTAAAAAAAATGCTCTGTAATTTCTATATCGACACAATATAGGTGTCCCATTGGTGGTGTTTCTACGGGGAGCCAGGGAGCCCCAGAAAAGAGTCTGGCCCGGGTTTTCCCCCCTTCCCCACTTTCAAATGTTTTTTTTTATCATTTTATATAGTGAAAGTACCACTGACGCCACTACAAGCTATGAGGAATATTATAAAGAAAATATGACTAAAATGTAGAAGTGATTAGTGTCTTACTTATTCAATTTCCTAATGATATTTTTTAGACTGTGAAAATCTGGTCTTTCTGCAGGATCTTCTGACCACATTCTTCTTATGACACCAGCTAATTCATCACAAGGACAATCAAAATCTTCTAAAGTTGGTCTAAAATATGGCTTCATTCCATTCTTTACTTTAGTAAGTATTTCTGTAATACCAAGTAAATAAGTAAACAGTAAGTTTTACAGTTTAATTAAAATAAGACAAAACTTTCGTTCCGTTTTTTATAAGCTTTTATTTTTAATAAAGCCGCTATATTAAAAATAAAAGCAAATAAAAAAGGAACGAAAGATTTTTTAATTAGACTGTCAGTTTTATTAGTAACCAAGCACATTTTGAAGAATATGTTTTTTCCGTTAAATCTAGCAATCGAAGTCGACCTTGGGAGCAAATGGTTTTCAAATACAGAAAGCCATTTGAAGGAATTCAGGAAAATCTGTTAAATAGCCTGATTTAGTAAATCGGGGAAAAACTGACATTTGAAAAATAACAGTTTCCGAAGACTGCCATAATTTACTCATATTATAATTCTGTCCTTCACATATTCACCTTCGTCACTAAATACCAGACAACAGCTATTCAATTGTGAGGTAAGATGTTCGGTATGGATTCCAATTTTGGCTATTAAAATTCATTTTGTCAATTTAGAAAAATAGATCGATAAGAATACTTAAATCCAGCTATATAAGACTAAAACTGCCAAGGAAACCGATAAACTGCGTATGTTATTTCCGCATTTGTCATGTTATTGGCTGGAGTTATTAATTTTCCATCAGGATGGAATTTCTATTAATGACATGATGGTAGTCTAGTGACCTTGGGCGTCCAAGATAAATAGAATTTGCATAATGTATTGTTCAGGTTGGGATAAGCATTAACCCAATCAAATTAACATGATTTTCCCGAAGGTCATGACTTCCGTGTTGATCCGAAATCAGAACTTATCTACTGTTTCCATAACCTGAAGTGTCAAATCAAATCGTAATGGTGATCAACTATAGCTTTGGTCTCTTATCAAATTAACATATCAGCTGACAGTAATGAGAGAATTAATTCCGCTCATCATCCACAGATTTAAACAAATTAGGAATTTGCACACTTCCATCTTGAAGTGGAACCGACTGCAAACATATGACCCAATTAATTCTTTTGTGACGTAATTGGCCAAATATATTTTGTTACATCAATCGGCCAAAATATTTTCGATTAGTCCATTTTATATTTAAAAAAAAAACAAAAAACAAAAAACAAAAACCAAGGCAGAAAAAATTCGGCTTTTTTGCCGTGATAGGACCAAATTGTCGTTTCTTTACAAACATTTAACGTTTAAAAAGTATATTTGTTATTAATTACGCCTCTGGTTTTGGCTTATGAAGACTGCTTGCGTCATTCAAAATGAAATGTCGGAAATTTAGCCAATACACTAGCATTAGCCCTGGATTTTGGTTTCTTGTCTGAGCCGATCGTATGGACTATAAGGTACGGTAAAACTCAAGTTAAACATACAAAGATAGTTTCTTTGCTTATTCCGTGATCGATCCCTGGTTGTTTCGATAAGCGAGCCAGAACTCAAAAAGTTCATTTTCATTTTATTGAAGATATACTCACCCTGTGGTGCCATATCTAAATTTTGCAAATAAAAAACTCCTTTTCTATACACAATCTCTTGACATATGATAGCAAAACTATATACATCGCCACTCTTGGTTCCTTCTGGTGGTTTACTGAACATTCTTAATAGTTCTGGTGCAGTCCATAACTTACCTATATAATGAAAACAAAAAACAATGCATAGTTGTTGTGCACAACATCACCCAAAGACGATTCAAAACATAAAAGCAGTTCATTTTTATTAGGTCGAATATGTCTTGCTGCAAAATATGTCTTGTATAGTCTCGATTACTATTTTGTTAAATTGAAAGTGGACTAATCAACGCTTTTAAATAAAACTATATATGTGTTAGCGAATGCCCAATCAGAATGTCACCATTAATTACATATTATAATTCCATTATTAATTTCAATAGAAAAATAAAGGTCTTACTTCTAAAATAGGCATATGAGGTAACATCTATAGTATCTTCGTCGGGTTCTCTTAGTTTATGTAAACCAAAATCTGTTAATTTAACTACAAATCTACTATCAACAACACAATTGGTACTTTTTAAATTACCATGACTATGTACATCAGTACCGTGAAGATAGGCCATTCCCTGAAATAATGTTGAATGAAGATGACACATGATGCAACTTTTCATTATGAAATAATAACTCATTTGAGATTGGAACTTCCTCATAATTATAAAGAGCTCATTTTCTGTTTCTTTTTTTTTTATTTTCGTGTTCCGTCTTTTCCTCAGAATATAGGTTTTGAAGGTTTTTTTTTTATTGAAGGCGTAATAATCAATCGAGCAACATAAGTATATAGAGACGTAATGTGTCCCTGAGCGAACCAATTATCAGATATCAAAGCAATGAGACGAACTGGGTTGAACTCTGTGGTATATTCTGAGTATTTGGGATCAATTCAGTGAAACATTTATACCCTTTGGTTTTCATTCTGTCTTAGTAATAGGTAGTTTATGGGCATGGTACTCTTCTCTATATACCGGTCAAACTCTCATATGACCTTTTCTTGCTCAGTTCTTTCACGCAACCACTCAAAATTGTTGGCAATTATCAGAATCTTTAAGGTTTCACATATTCCACTTACCCTGACAATATCTTGCATAATAGAATATCTAAACATCCAATCTAACTGTATTTCATCATTTTCTAAAACATCCTGGAAATAAGGTGAAAGGTGAAAGGTGAAAAGTTAGTAAGAAAAAATGTAATTTCGCTAAAAACTGGGCTTAATGTCGGCGATCAATTTAGGCTGCTCAGGTTTACAAGAAAGTCTGAAATGAACAACGGGTGCCACATACAAATTCGGTCTTCATTGCACTCAGATCGACTTTAAAAGCAGTGATTGATGAGATGCTCTCAGATGCCGAAACTCCTTATTAGATGCTATAAAATAGAGCAAAAAGAGCTGCTTTTTCAGCATTGTTTTCCTATATGTGAATCGTTGACTACATGTATCTCGGAAGATCCAAGATAAGTTACTTTTTATTTTGTTTTAAGTTACCTGTAAGCTTCCTTTAGGACAATACTCTGTCAATACACAGCAATGTGGAGGATCTATACAAGCACCAACAAATCTTACTAAATGGTCATTTTGGAGGTCTTTGATCTGAGAGAAAAAGATAACTGTATGTATTATCGAACAAAATTACAAGGAGCGCTCAGCCTCTGATTGGCTGTATTCGCTTCAAGAAAGGTGGCTATTGTAGTCGAAGTATTTGACAAAGTTCGTAATACCTTGACATTGTGAAGATGAAACCCTCACAGCTAATTTGAAATAGATGTAATGGAATAGATAACAAATTTTAATAACAAACGGTTTTGGCATAGGTTTCGAAGATAAGCAAGAATAAGGGCCAGATTGTTGTGGTATGGTTCGCTTATGACCCATCACGTTTTACCAGGTAACATACAACAAATACCATAACATAGCATGTGAAAAGGTTTAAATTTCATCTCTCCTGTGGTAAAGGCCAGTTTGTAAGATCAAATTCCTTACCTTTTTGACCTCCATTAGTAATGGTTTATGTATAGTAACATGTTGTTTATTAATCTGTTTAATAGCATTAATGGCTCCCTGAAATATAAAAAAGGTGGCATTGGGGACGAGTGTTGGATGTTTGCATTCAACTTCATAATACATGTACACTAGATTTTGCTCAAAGAATTCTCATTTCAGTTTCAATATTGATCACATGATCATGATCACAAGAAAACAGAAAGACATGCAAAACTAGTAAAAGATATGCCAAAGTGATGTTTCTTTTCCAAAATTCCCTTAAATCTGTCGAAATTCGTCCGAAATTGTGTCTAAATTTTTGTTAAATTAGAGTTGAAAGCCCCATATATATTAAAATATAAAAAATAAACGAAAAAAATAAAAACTGTGAAAACAAATTTAAAAAGCAATTTTCTTTCTAATTCTTCAATTATCAATTGATGTTTCTTAAATAGCGCTTCAACAATAAGCTGAATGAACTAAAAGCTGAAAGTATTTGAGATAAAAAAGAACTTCTACATTTAACCTTTTCAGTTTTTTCATGGACACAAATTCTTGTCAACATGTTAAAACATAAACATCTTAGGATAATTCTTTTGCGACTGAATTTTAAATTCAAAACAAACAGAAGTAACATTTTATGGTAAAAAGAAAAACAATGATGTTTTAAGCAGCGCAAGAAAGCAGGAAGTTTAATTGTACAATTTGTTTGTTTGGGTGTTGTAGCCTAAAGCATTACTTTTTTCAAGAAAATGATCAATTGTCATGTTTTGTATATGATGTCTCTATTGTGTTTTAAAGATTACAAAATTGCGTTTTTATTTTTTATCTTTTGACTTGAATAATAATAATAAACTCTAACATTTAGCCATCGGGGACAATACAATTAATGATATTAAAAACTGCACAAAAAGAAATAAGGAACACAAATCTAAATTATAAGAAAAAGACAGAAAATATTGTTATCTTTAATGGTTTAAAAGTAACAAGTAAAGTTACCCAAGAAATATTTATTATTATTTTTAGGTAGATGATAACAATGGGAAAGTTATTGCAATCTCGGTTGTCTAATTGTTACTCGTGAAAATGGTTCAAGATATTAACCGCAAAGAAATAGTTATTGTTATCCAAAGTGTGCTTATGATACGTATCCAAAATAGTAAATTTGCTGAATAACAATATAACAGTTATTGTTATCCATAGTTCTGTTAAGTAACATGAAAAGTGACTGACCATGCAGTTCGTTCAAGTAAATTGCTTGACAGATAGTTATTGTTAAGTGTATTTGTTATTTATATAAATAACTTGTTTTTTTTTTTCATTATGAATTTGTTTCAAGTTATTTGCTGAATAACAAAGAGACAGTTATTTTATCCATTGTTGTTTTGTTTTTAGGAAAGGTTACTGTTACTCATGACTTTGATTCAAGTTATAAGCTGGATAAAGTAACAAAAAATACATGTGGTTATCTGCAGAAAAATAAGTTATATGAATAACAAATACGTTAAAAACTAAAAAAAAAATTATTATTTTCTGAATGAAACACTAACATTAACAAAGCAGAATGATAATTTCTTTCAACAATCAAAATAATTCTATCCTTAAAATGTTTTCACTGCAAATAAAAAAAAACTAGTAATTGTTATCTTCAAAACGGGATGGGAAAGAATTTTGACTTCCTTACCTTATAATAGCCTGTTTTCGTAAAAAGCTGTTTATTACCATTGTCCAAATGTATAGCAATTGTGTCTCCTGATACAGTACTCGTTATAGAATTTCTCTGAAAACAAAAACACCCACATAATTCATCATTTATACATTGACCTTACATTGAATATACATACTTTTGACAATACTTTAAAGGGACAGATGTACCATTGTTATTTTTTCGCAAATTTTTCGTCAGTCAGTATAACAGTGATCACAGCTCACCGTCGAAATTTGAGCCTTTAAATCCATGTGTCCAGAATTATTCGCATTTGAATGTTAAAATGACGACTCGTCAATTTAAGATACTCTGTGGTATATAGAAAGGAAATATATAGAAATACATTTCTAGTACTTCTGAAGACTATTTACATATATTCAAGACTAAAAATAACACCTCCAAAATGGCACACTGCCTTTAAATTGTAAAAACTCGTAAAACCCATAAGACTTATTTCGTTTCTAAATATTTAAAAAGAAATGTTCCGTTGATATTAAACTGTCATCACTTCGACCCACCATATTACCTAATCGAACGAAGAGATAAAAATCTTTTTTAAATAGGCTCGTACGGTAATTTTTGTTGAGAAATCATAAAACGTGAAGAAATGTTACAGCCGGATTTTTTCCCCCATGCGTTGAAGTTTAAACGTTTCTGCCAGCTACAATTTATCTCTTGTAGTGAAATTTACTGCATTTGAATAAATAATTGATCAGAGCATCTTAAAATAGTGAATGTGTATATTAACATCACACCTTTAATTACATCTCTCTGAATGATATTTTCATCTAATTCCAGAATATATCAATTACAGTCGATATTGTTTAAATTTGCCAACGTAAGAAATAAATCTAATCCTTCTTCTTTCTGTGACACCTTTCAGTAATCTCGATAGATTATATTACTCCCCTTCCTCCTATAAATCCTTGCTATATCATAATATTTTTATTTTCATAAAAAATAGTCTGACTAAAATTAACATTGTCAAACAATTTTACAGAGCGCCTCACTACCGCCGAAAAATTTGAAGATAACCCCACATTAAAAAAAACTGATCTCAAAGAATCTATAGATAATTTCAGATTCACAGATCTAATCAGAACATTCTTGAACTCTTTTAACAAAAAGTTTATGAGCTAAATGGATTATGTCAATTTGGTGCAGTGATGGATCTTATTCTGAAGGTTATAATGTCGTCAAATATTTATACTGATTATGTTCAATCAAACGAAACACTCGGTGAAAGTTACTCTGTATAAAGTGTCATCTTTGATCTTGCTCTGATGTGCCCTTTATATAGAAGATAAAAATCGACGTAATGCATAATACACTGGAGAAATCAGTGGGCTCCGTTAACATCATCTCATATAATCTGAAGTGAAACTCTTAAGCAAATCCTGACTACTATCAACTGCGATCAACTGTATGGTAGCAAATCATCTAATTTCTTTTAGAAAGTGTAACTCCGCAAACAGAGAGGAACTGTGACATTTTACTAGCAGTTGTTGGAAATTCAGATCTCTCAAGATCTGCCAGAACCAAGGTCAACCTTAGACACTTCCTCTTGTACAAAGTGACAATGTTCGGGTGAATATCGAATAATAGTTTCAACAGTAATGCAAACATAGACAATTAAAGCAGCATTCAAAATAATTTCCTTCAATTTGAATTAAACCACGAGTTACATGAGTCAAGGTTTTCTGTTTAATCTTGTAATTTTGACACCTACAGCAACCTAATCTAGTAACTTTTAATTGTCTAGACTCTATATCAATATTGAATTTAATCAACTTGTTTTCTTTTGGAAATGTCACGTTTGAAAATTAATGAATATGTTCTATTGCTACAGTAATTTGGTGAGTTGTACAATGGCACACATACACCAATTAGATTAGAAACTGTAGGTTGATGAACGTTTTTGAAGATTATATGAATGCATATTTTAAGGCAAACATTTGATGGCATCGAAGTCTTAAAATCTGTTAACTCATATTCATTTATAAAACCGTTTATATTCAATGCCAGATTTTGCGACATTGAAAATGAAAATTTTAACACGAAAACAATGTAACGATAGCTCAGACATAGAAGTAAATAAGTACATTATTCCTAATATATGGTAATAAAACAATTGGGTGACTCAGTCGACAATTGATTTCAAGGACAGACGTTTTCAAATATTACAAAAGGTATTAACGTAGATTGACGCAGCTCTTTTTATGACATTTATCTGCAATGAGAGTTAGATTGTAAGTCTTCAACATGCGTTTATGTATAGATAGGATTGATTGATTACCAGTTGTGTATGGTTTCGAATAATGAAGTGGCCATAAGTACCGAACGCAAGTCAGTTGCATGAGAGGTGCATACGAAATTTATGACCTCTATTCTTATTTGCAACTATTCTCAGCTGGTGATCGCTATGGTGTTAGTTAGGGCATCTTTAGTTGATTGTGACCGGTTCAATTAAAATATAGATGGACCCAAAATCAAAATACCCCAAATGTAACATTCTGTTAAAATGTACTAATAAAGCTAAAGACACATACATGCGGTTCGTGGTCCGGTGCGGCGATGCGATGCGTTCATTTCACCGCAGCGTTTCACCGATCGAAACAAACAAGGGTATGCATTTGACATGACACATACATGCTGTTGCGGTGCGTTGCTATATTTCCCCGCTGCGTTTCACTGGACCAAAAGTCTCGGGACTTTCTGTCCGGTGAAATGCAGCTGTGTCGCAGGTGATTTCCATTATTTTCAGACGTCATTGTGGGGAAACCCCATTATTACAGAGTGGTGCGAATGTGTCATACCTGCCGCAACGGTACCGCATAATCGCACCGCACCGCAGACATCGCATCCGCATGTATGTGTCTTCAGCTTTAGAGAACTGTATCCCGTTAAATTTGTTCTTACTCGGATTAAACTCATTCGACTACCACATCTTTCCAATTTCCGATTTTTAGTTGGTGCTCCGAACATAATATCTTCATATTTAACTCTCCAATTCATTTCCGCTAATTCGGCTTCAAGCTTGATATGTCTGCAAAATAAATTTATCAACTTATTCAGTAATATTCTTTGATATAGATAAAAATCATAGCACTTTTGTTAAATATATTAATCCGAATTCTTTTAAATCGTCGACTTTTAATACATCCAATTACAGTTATTGTAGCCCATCACATACATCTCTACAGGGTCACAAGTCGTCGAAATGAATCTGTAACTAATTTTATTTGGTCGAGGGTCAATAAGATTCATCCAAACGTGTGATGTCAAGAGACATACCTAGGCTTCGATGACGGATTCATTTCAACAGCTCGTGACCCTTTGGAGCCGAAGAAGCCAACTCAAAGTGTTGAAACAAAAGGAACAAGATCAGGTATGTGGATGTAAATGGACGCAGAGTGGTATAAAGTGTTTCGGGAGAATTGGCATGTCCTGCCTCTCTAGTGACACCTTGCATAGTACCCAACTAGCAATATTCAATCTGGCCCGACGGGATATAAGGTGTAAGGCCAGGTGTAACCTCGGTTAAGCCAGATAAGCATTGTTAGCTGAGAACTCATTAAAGTGGAGCTGAGGTTTTTGGAATTTGTACTGAAAACATCTATTTTCACATGACTTGAGCTATGTCATGTTTGAGAAGTATTATACTGTATGTCTTTATAAGCAGATTATACTCTTTTAAAGCATCTACTGCACTAGCTCCCAACCCGAGGCGTTTGACTAGAGTGTCTGGGGTTTGGCCAACTGGTGTAGGAGAAGAATTTGTTTTGAGTTGAGAGAGCATCTCCCATCATCACATGCTGAAAATGTGGATGAAACAAATTTTTGGGGTGTGTGAAAGGCCCAGGTGATTGCTCCAGGGGTGTGCAGACTGAGAAAGGTTGGGAACCACTACAGCATTCGTTTCAGTACATTCACTTTGTAAACGTGTCTGATGTCCGTTTTTCTGTACTTATATTTGACCTTATGTATCATATCAATTACTATATCATCAAAACCCAATACAAACCATTCTTGATAACAGAAACTGTGTCAATTTGTAACTAAATTATTAAGTTCATGAAATGGTTAACATCACATCTTACAAAACGTTCAAATAGAATAGTAACTACTAGTTCAAGACAGATTGAAACTGTCATAAATAAAACAGATTTCTAGTTTGATTTATATATCAACTTATATCCCTGGTCAGCTACCCGATAATAATACCAAATAGACGAATTTGTAATTTACATATAAATGGTATATAGCGAGGACATAGATAACATGCTCTTGATACTGAAAATCAATGTCATTCCTCCATCTGTTATTTGATGGCTTGTTAAGTTTGTCTTTAAACAAAGTAGAAAAAATCATAATGCACCATGATTGGCCATTTTTTTGACGCATGACGGAGACCATTTGACGGATACCGCATATATGGAATCATCTTAAACCAACCATTTCGATTTTTAACGCATGACGGATGACGCATGGCGGATCCGCATGACGCGTATATGGAATCTTAGTTTTACGCTTTATGGAAATTGGAATGTTAACTTGAATCTCAACCATGACGTGTAATTACCACGAGGTAATGTTTAATGTGTATTTACTGAACGCTACGAAACAGGAAATTAATGCAGTAGGAGGGTTTAATAATAACATATCTATTAGTATAAACTATTCCAAATAGTTTCCTCTACTTTGCCTCTGGTTACTTTGAACCATTATTCATCAGATATAAAAAAAAGTCTGAAGAGAAAGGTTTTTTTCTACGAGGGTAGTTACGTATGTGTATGTGGCATGAATATTTTGATATAGACTCCATACTTGGCATTTTTACAATTTTCGGCTAGATTTTCTACTTACAAAAAACGGCATGGCTCTTTCAGTGTGTTACATAACTGTTCATTCTATTTTTGTTCTTCTTTTCGAAATTTACATACAAAAAGCTAACTTTAACAACAGTAAAATCCTCCTATATCAAATGAGATGACTTGAGGATCATTTATCAGACATTTCGGATTATCTTTCATGTTTGTAATTCCCGAAACAGGATTACTCAATTATCCCTCCCTTGACAAAAAGTGAAATTATCCGGAATAAAATATATTCTAAATGTCAGAAAAAGATTTGAAATATTGGCATTGACAGGCCCAGACTTAATCTTATCGACGCTAAACTAAATCTCGATTCCATCAGTCTACCAAATATAATCCCCTTTATTAAGAAAAAATCTTCAATGTTTTCCTTACAGATTTGTTAAAACGATTTTCAATTGCAAAATCCTTCAGGCGGATGTGGAATAATGTTCTTAGTTTCGGTGTTTGAAGTTAATTATATTCATTCGCATGAGTTCCTGTATTTTCGCAAACTTTTCCGGAAAGCTAAATTGTGTTTTTTTAATCTTTTCTTAGTTAAAAAGAAATATAAGTAACAGATTTAAAACACGTTTGATGTCAGAATCGAGTTAGAACTACACCCGAAATTATATTGCGAAATAATTGATTTTTGATTTGATAATTTAACTGAAGGATGGAATTCTTTGCATCCTTGATTATATGAATCACGTTCGCCTCAAATGCGGATGTGCATTAAAGTGCCCACACACTATACATTTCAACCAATCTTGGTATTCAAAACGACCTGAGGTGTTGTTTTCGCGTCATAACGTCTATACTTTCAGAAACACGTAGATAATTGAAATATTCATTACCGCATATTACCTTTAATATCCCGCCGTTGGTCTGACAGAATGCGTCAGAAGTTATTCATAATTTACACAAATTGCAAGATGTACATTTTGCATTAAGGTTTTTTATAGACAGTGGTTATTTTTTTTCTTGACAATTCTCCCCCAACTGTTTTGATGAAAAAAGGTCAAACCAGACTACTTGTGTCGTGAATTGAGTCTGAGGTTCCTTTCTTTACCTACTTTTAGATGGGAGAATCTAAAGGAGTAATGAAACCAATGGTGGGATTAAAAATCAAGTAACTGCTGTTTCAAATAATTTATCTTACAGTAAAAGTTTAAGTCACACACAGAGGCGGAATGAACCAAACTGGTCTCACAAAACGATTTTAGTAATTTCCCAGTACATGTAATTCGAGATGCAGTTTGAAACCTTTGGCTGCAGGTCGGACATTCTAGGTGCATTCGAATACTACTGACTTCATCTCATTTCCTTTTCAGTTTCTCTTCCTTATATTTCCAGTTTGTACCAAATGCATCAATTTGGCTGGTTCATCAACAGTTGTTCAGAGGTGTAAGGATCTTGAAGAAATGGTGATATATCAATGAAAATTTAAGAAAAGGGTCACACAACAAGGATTACAGCTCGACTCAATTCTCTTTGGACGTCCAATTAAGATGCTCCAAAACTCCTGCAAATGAAATAATTATCATGGAGACTTTCACAATTAAACCAGCTATTGTTATGCCTAACAGAAATCATAAAATATAATGTGAATGGCTTCATCGTTTTACAAAGGGAAATACAAAAGCACGGAATTGATTGGAAAATAAAAATATTGTGTTTCTTTTTTCTGCAATAATCTATTTGGCGTGATGAAACTTGAACAAGGTGCAGACTGAAATCCTACAACATTGTCCTTGTAAATGATAGAGTTTCTACTCAATTGATTGAAATTTCGAAATTAAAAAAAATGCACAAGCGAAGACACGAAGAGATTAAACAACTATGAACTTACCTCAGCCAAGGATATTACATAGAAATATATTTTTGTAATATCTTTTCGGAAAAAGTGGTTCAGCATAAATCAAAAGGAGCGCTATTCGTGATATTATAAGGCAAACGGTGCCTTAAGACCTAGGGAGAATTGGAAGAATTGGCATGCAGTATTGAAGAAATAGTAGTAGAAAGGACTCCGTGCAATGCTATATTTACTTTTGATGCAACTAATAATAAACGCTATATTTACAGTCACAATACCCCAATTTGACAACTTTCAATCATTATGACTCGCCACAGTCTAGCAAAAACATTCGGGCACCTCACTTTGTTTTTTTTTTTAGAACAATGCATACTTGTCAATGGGACTTTTATTGCAATGTACTATACACGATTTCGACTATTACAACATAAACCCCATTGTAAGGTTTAATTCCTAAATTAAGAAAAAATCGAAAAACAGAAAGATCTATCTATTATCAGATATTAACAGAACTTAATGCACAAAGTTCAGATCTTAAATGGATTAAAAAAATAACATTCTGAATTCATTCATATACTAAAGATAAAGGCATTGCTTACGAGAATCAGTCTTGATGAGTATAAATTAAATATCGACTTACCTATATACAAAAAATGTAACAATTAAAACAACAAGTAATACTGAACCAAGAACAATAATAACTATGCCATATTCTGGAAACGGTTCTGAAAAGTAAAAGCCAAATTCGTGAATATATATTGGGGAAAGCTAACAACATTTCAAAAGAAATATTTCAACCAATAACCGGCCATTAGTATGAACGATATATCTACATGTATTTGGAAAAAAATCAAGAATTAATGCAATAAGTAAATGTTCTGGTCTAAAATGGCTTTTAAACATAACCATCCAAATTCGTTCATATACTACAAAGACAAAAGTATTGCTCAAAAACATTAGGACATTCATGATGAACAATAATAACTATACCACATTATGGAAACAGTTGAAAATTGTAAAAATCATTTAATATTGAAGTCATTTTGTATGATAATTTGAAAAGATTAATTGTTGAATCATCATCCAGTCATCTGATTTGAAAAATTCCATTCTGTTGCTATACTGATGATAATTCCACATCTTCCATTGGACTCACCATCCACCAAACCAGGTTAAGAATCAACTTAATTTGAAAGCAACAGGCAACTATTCTATCTGATCTTAATATTATCTTGAAGCATAGAAGCCAATGTCTAACAGGAACTGGAAATTTAAGTTGGCCTTTCAGATTTGGCCGATTATGTTAATTCCTGCAATTTAGATAATATCTCCAACTAATGAATACAAAAGTGTATTGAAATATTGCAAACTTACGTACCTTCAGGTGGACATTTTGAACCATCAAAGCCACAAACGGGTGTATCTTTAGGTGGTCCTCCTCTATTACCAGCCCAGTGTATCCTTTTACCTTTCACGGGTTCATAGCGTTTTCTATTACCATAGTAATTAGCTACCACCTACAACGACAAGAAACCAATTAAGTAACCATTCAAATTTGCGGTTGAGTTTATATGAATCAGGAATCAGCTAAGAGGTCACATTCGGAATGGAATTACTCTCGAATTAAAGTGGCAGTGTGTACCAATTTACGGGGTTTATTTTCACAATGTGATAAATGTAATGGAATTTACAGGAATTAAAGTTATTAGTAATGATGATGTAAAAATGGGACTGTTTGTGAAGAATCTCTAATCAAATTTCATAAAAAATGATTGTTCCCTCTGTTGACTTCACACTATTCAACAAAAAAAAAACATTATGTAACTCAAGTATGCATTCCTCTCTTAATGAAGATAGAATACAATCCCACTTTTATGATGAACACATTTCTGATCATTTCCTATATTGAAAATGTCGTCTGCGATCCATGCTACAATGTTGCCATGATTAAAATTAAAATTACGAGAAAATTTGGCAAAATGTAATTTTGTTTTAAAAGCAAACTGACACATTTTTGGCTGTACATATATTTGCTTAATATTCAATATTTTGAATTTTACCAAATGAAATATTCCTTAAAACTCATGTGTGCCCTATTGTGGCAGGAGGGGTGGTACGATAATGCGCTGTGGATATAGTTGAACAAGAATCTGGTTTTTTAAATGTTTATATAATTAAAAGCATAAAACATAAAATGAATGAAAAGTTGAATTATTATACATCTGATAACTGTAGAAGTAGAGCGTAGAGCGATTAACGTATTATTAGACATTCCTGGCCCCTTTTACAATATTGATACAACAATCTGATAAAGTCTGAGAACTAACTGAAAACTGATAAAAAATGTTAATTTGAGAATTCTACATTCTGCCATGATGGTTCATTTAAAAATGGTTCTTTTTATACATCAATTGTCACAATAAAAAACGAAAAGATAATATGATATACTAAATTTCAGGAATTAGCTTGTGTACTATTGTGAAAAAACGAAATAAGTTTAAAACGTTCAATAAATGCTAAAATGGCCATAACATGCCCAATTGATTTTTTTTCTGTTTTTGGACATGCAGTTTGTCTGTTTCTTTATACCAATATTTGTCCAAATACCCTCAAAGGTTTAAATATTTTTAAAAATGTATATATTCACTATCAAACTTTGATTGGAAGTCATGAACAACTTTTTAAAAACCTCATCAAATATTCTTAGAAATTGTCATAATTTTTAAAGGTCACAGTATGCATTACAATACTAGGCTCCCACGGACCGTGAAAAAACATCATTTGTCGATAAAATCTGCTATATGTGCTAAATGAGGAATGTGTTTAATTATTAATCGTAACGAGATGTAATAGACATTTGGTAATGACGTACCAGATATTACCAGAGAGGCAATATCACCAACATACGTATGTTTTATCTGAATATATCAACTCCACGTTCAAGATAGTGTTATACGTATGATTGCTGTTTTGGATTTGTTAGTCTTACAGATAGTCTAAACAACAGACCTAAAATTCCAAAATTGCCACACTAGAGACTAACAAATCCATAATGATCAAATCCAACTTGTGCTTCAAGACCTATTAAATTAAATCAAAGCCAATTCTATATCATCAACAGAGTTAAAAGGATGAGTTTTGGTCATTATAAAGAAGGCCGGAAGCTTAACTTGATCTAGATATATGTCACACCAATAAATGTATATATGTTACTGAACGACCTTTCTAAATTAGCTTAATAATCCAATTTCGTAGCACTGGCACGGGTTATGATTCTCTCAAGGTCTCCGGCTGTAAACAAAAATCTGTACAAGCACAAAAATTCATGAAACCAAAAATCTCATCCAAAGCATTACAAAATCGGGAGATATAATTGAATAGTGGTGGAATATACGAGAAGTACCATCAGGTGTTTCAAAAGAGTAAGCATGGTCTGCTATATGGCCTTGAGATGGGTTATGAGATGTAAACAGATCAAGATTCAAGAACATAGACTTCTTAAATATAACACGGTTAATATATAAGACGTTACTTCATAAATCTTCATTACATTGAATTGATATATAATACAAAAGACTGGCACTAATTTTATATTGAGACCCTATTCAGATCTTATAGCCCTGTCACAACGGCTTGCGACCATTTGCGATCTTACGGCGACTGGAAATGAACTAGGTCGCGGCAAAACGTGAGGAAAACTAGAGAAAACGCCCCTTAAAGTTACAAACCTAAAAACAGCCGACCTCATACTGCTAGGTATGCGTTATAACGTTTTGGCAGCGTTTTCGCCTCGCATCTACTGCGCTTTTATACCGTTCAAGTCGACCTTCTCGATCCAATGGCGTCCTCCACGCGTCCCAAAAAAGATCGCCGAACCTTGACGTTTAAACAAAGTCCTGTGGCGACCTTGACACGCTCTGAGCCACTTTTCCTTTCAGTAGCAGCACACGGTGTGACGAGACCATATAGATCTTAACATGAGGAAGTTGTTGAAAAAACAAAATGCTATGTTACCACGGTTGCCCGGCACGAGCAAGAATGTTTTACGTAACAGAGTAAGAAGAAAGAGACAAAAATGTTCTTGTTATTTTGATAAACAGTCTTCCTGCTTCGCTATATATTTATTTTGATGAGTAAAGTTAGGAGTCGATTCATTTTCATTTTATAAAGATCGCGAGTCGACTCTACCGGGAATAACTCTTTTTAACAAAATAATATTCATTAAGTTACATGACGATGTTTAAACGGTCTTTACAAAATTATTTTACCTCAAATCTTCATTTGAAAAACGGTAGGACGGAATTACTTCATTCATTACATTTTATAACAATTTGTTTCTAAGAATCATTGAGAAAATAGCTTCTTTCAATTAAAAATGATGTTTTTCAACTACAGTTATGTGGGTGGATTGTGCCATGGATTGGAAGTCGTACAGGCCAAGATGACGCTCTTGCATAAATGAGACCTGTAGGGTAGAGTCATTTGTCAACTCGTTGGTATTCTTCGAAGAATAACCAGTCGCAGCGTGAGGTCGTAATGAATGCATTATTTTCATAGTCAAAAATCTACATCGATGGAATATATGAAACCCTGAATATGGAGTTTAATGGTAGATTGACAAGTATTTGCAGTTAAAATATAATAAGATAAACGAAGATGAATGTCATATAGTCAGTGATAAAACACAAATCGCAACAGCCAAACAAACCATGTTGTTCTTCAAAGCAAATACATTGTATTATTGAAACAAAATAGATTTATCTTTAATCTTTCCAAAACTTTTTGACCATCCCTCGTATTACCCATCAGAATAACTGACTAAGATTATGTCTGAACAACTGACAACTGGAGACGAACAGACGAATATACAAGAAGGAAATCATATAAAAGAATTACATAAGTTAATATAAAGTCAACAATCGATAATGAAAAAAGAGACGGTGATAAAACGCCAGATAAGAATAACAGCTTTCCATATTGCTTTGATAGAATAATTTAGTCATGAGACACAACGTCTCCTCTGATTGTCATTGGTACATTCGAATGCTCTTAAAGGACCAGATTCGTCATCCGTTTGACGAATCGTAGCTAAGCTAATCAGTAATATTGTTCACAGCTCACGAAATTTGAGCCTTCAAATCCATGTGTATTTCATTCTTCTAATTCATTGTACAAATAAATTACACACAAGAGACAACTTTTTTATTGTCAAAGACACAACTTATCATACAGTAGAAACTGAATATTATCGTTCTTAAACTTATTTTGAACTTATGCCAAAAGACATAATGTTGTATTGTTGTACGTGGTAAAATGTTGAAAACACATTTTGGATGAACTCTATTCCAAAGAGCTATAGTGTATGGTATAATAATTATTGGTGTCTTTTTATTTGTCCACACCGACAATGCTCGATGAGGGTTTGACGTGGAATTATACTTACTTCAAATTTATCTGTTTTAGGATTGAGATCTAATAGAGAATAATCAGCATTTCTGTCACCATTGGCATCGATACTCACAGTTCCAGTGATTCCTGCAAGTATAATGACAAAAAATAATTTAGCATACTTTTTTAACTTGTAAAAGTTGATGAGAAGACGTTTTAAACCAAGCGATTGCTTTAATCAGTATTACACATTCGCCTCTCATTATGCTGTACCTTGCTCTTAAATTATTTTCATTTTCTTCCTCTTATTTCTCAATTACGAACACAAATCTGGCATTTACACAGCAAACATTAGTCAAGCCTATCTTTATCTTAAACCTCAAGTCAGTTCAATGAGGATGTGTGCGATCTCACGAGGACTAATTTAGTGTTTTTATTCAGTGATGTTGGTCAGTTATCGACCTTTAGTCAGAAAGTTTGGCCTGTGTAAATATAATTAATGGAAATATAACACGGGATGTAATTAAGGTTATCCGGATGTTACCTAAGTTATATTGATATAATCTCTCATGAGACTGTGAGCTGTCATATTGTTATGGATGGTTAAAGGTAATTGGATGTTACAACATCTATATTGTTATTTTCTACTATAAATTTGTTATGAGTTATTGTAATATATGATATGATATTTTATTTATATATCAGGAATCGATTCACATTCTAACCATCCAGGTCGATGTAAAGTAAAGTATTGATGGCAACTGCACTCATATCGATTATATGAAGCGATTTACCAGATTCAAGACATCATTGGTTACTAGCAGTCGTTCAAACTCCAGGTAGACCTAACATCCCCAACACCGATTTTTAATTTGCTTTGGATAATTAATTTGCTTTGTAGACAGCATAAGATACACAAAAATATTCTAGTTACATTGTGGCAAGTAATAGTAGAATAGATAAGTCGTACACTCGTTTGAACTCGATAATAATAACCGGTGACCCCTTGTTTTTATACATGGTTTCTATTGGTTCAGGACAGATAAAAGCTTTTTAGAATTAACTATCTTTCTTTTAAAGACGTCTAAGATTAAATAAAGAAGACCTTGTATTGATTGGATTGCGTTTGAAGACCGAATAAAACAATTGAAAGAACGAGACTGTTTTAATGTATTTTTCAATGCTGAAAACAATTTCTTGAAGGAATTCTTAACAGCTTTATTTAAAAAACAATACTTTTAATAGATGCCTATTAAGGAAGTCCAGACGTTTTTAAAGTGTTGAAATAACTCGCTATTATATTTAAACGGAAAATCCGAGGATGTCCGATGCTATTACATTATCGCCTTATGTAATTGGACTTTTATGAATAAACAAACCCACGAACCTAAACCAAAAACAAAATGTGACGTATAGATTTATTCTTTTAGTTTTTGTAATAAACAGGGCACCTATTTTAAACTCGAATAATTTACTTCACATAATTTTATGTGCTGTGTCGTGCACGACAGCTTGTGTAACTGAGTGTAACAGTGGCGGCGCCAGGCTCCCGAGACTTGGTGTGGGGGTACAAAATTGGGATACAACTGTTCAGGATGAATTCAAAATTCGGCAACTTTGTGGAGGCGTCATAGTTGCGAGCTTCTCAAGGAACGTAAAGTGATTTAATATATTTTCGGTTTGAATTTTACAACCGCGAAAGCTGCACATTTCGATGATCATTAATCAAAGTGAAAGTACCCACCACTAAATGTTCGATTCCACATTCTATCTGTAATAGCCTTTCCATCAGACACTGATCCATTAGCTTCCAGAGTTTCATTAAGGGCAAGAGCATATAAAATAACAGCATCATGAAAGGCGCCGACAAAACTATTCACCTGGGAATTATAAAAGAAGATTTCAGTACATTTTAAAACGTTAACAGACAAAGTCAAGCAGACAGTAAAATAATGTAATTAGGTAATGTTTTTTAATTTGCACTTCTAAGCAATGTCCTAGTGCAATGTACTCACCTAACACGTCGGGGGCATACTGTTTAAAGGGGGCCTGTCTGCAAATAAACCAAAAGGGTTTTTTGTCGAGTTTTGTGGATAAACAAAAAAGTCTTTTTGACCTTTCTTGATCGGTCACTCATTGGAATTCTGCTGGTATTACTCTTCTAATTTAGCTAATTATGAATTGATTATGGACATGTGAGACAAACTGGTATTTTTCCAAGTCATAAGAATACCTCTACTATTCATTTAAAAATTAGCATTTTCATTTTCATAAATGAAAATAAGGGAACCCATCTTTAATTTTACCTTGTTGGAAATATGACAAAAAAAAGTTATCTTATCGTACGATCAGGTAACTATCATTTGTATAGGTGTTAAACTTGTTCATACAGTTGGCATTTATTTCAGTCTGTTCTAGTTCCATGGTTAATTACTGTACTGGACAGAAATCACAAGAACACATTTACTAGTTACTACCAGGTCTGACAATTTGTCGAGCCTGTAGTTGTTATAAGTGGTATACGTCCCTTACCTCCTCTTCGCCATACGTAAAGTTAGCATACATTTTACTGGCCCTTCTTTTCACCTCCTCGGAAAACTTCCTATATTCTGGCGAAGTTGGCTTTCTCAATGTTACAGTCATTAAAGCTTCGTACGCCTTTCTTGCCGCTTGGTTTCTCTCTTGCGTATCATCTGCTTTATACCAAGGTCTCTCACTAGCATTTTTACTGAAAGATATAATCAAATAGTCTAAAAGGGAAATTCAAAGTAATATTGAATATTTAGCATGATGTATTTTGATATTATAAATCTAAAGGTTGGACTATAAGTACATCAAGGCAAATGAAGCTAATTGAAAAAAAGAAGACGGGAATGATATCCGCTTAATATATTGTTTATTTGATGATAAGGTTATCGTTTGAAGTCTATCGAAATCATTGCAATGAAATACCTAACTGATTTCAAAGACCATAGGATTTTTGCCTGGAAAAAAGACCACTGTTACGGCCCTGGAAGGTACTTCATAATCGCCCGACCGAATCTTATGCTAACTGAATGACTACCATATTGCTTTAGTGGTTCATTACGCAATCTAGTATTGACTGGAATCTGAAAAAAATTTATTCCGTTGTGCCACGCCGATAACATCAGAATTCTACATGTATAGTACATTGATTCCATAGATAAAGTGACAATTTCGCCTCATTACATACTACATTACACAAGAGTCGTGAAGCTCTAATTCATTTGATTTCAGAATATACGATACAGACATTTCATAATTAATCATTTAACTAAGGTACCGTAAGTTCCATCAAATTAATGGACTATAAGATCTTATCGCTGTAAAAATATCTATTTCCCCAGCAGTCTAGAGAGCCTCAGTCAGAAGTCCAGCATGGTTGTTTAAAATCCAATAAATCTTTTTTACACTTTCTAGTTTATTCAATATGTTTTAGTGGAGAAAATAAAACGATATTAAACGATTTTATTAAAAAGCTACTCTTTCAATGCTTATTGATTTACGGTTCCGTTAGTTTCTCACTTTTAGCCAGTTTTCGTGTAATAACTCAAGCTATATATCACTGAACTGTCGAAAACGGTCAATTTATAATGAATGGAAAACTAACATCTTCGACAAGTCTCATTGAAGTTTTTATGGTTTGGGTGTTAATATTAGCTAACGTTGCTGACAGTGTTTCAGAGAAATTTTACGGATCAATTATTTGTACAAGAGTCAGTTAGACGAATGTATATTACTTAATCCATCAATAGAGCCCATGTTCTTTAATAGTTAGAATATCTTAAAGACATGGACTTAGTACTTAATTTAAAAGTCAATTTGAATTCAGAGCATTTATTTAAAGCCAAAGTCTCTATCTTTTCACAACATTTGCTTAGGGTCACACTTAAATGAGCTTTATGAGCAAAAACTCGAGGTATATCACGTTTTTAATTATCTTAAAATATGCTTCTTATATCTAAATGAGAAAAAAGCCTTGTCCTCTGGTAGTTTTCAGTTCCATCACCTACCAGTCGACGAATTCATTTTTGCATGATTAATGTCTCTGTCTCATCAGGTATCTTGGCAGTCTTTAACAGATCGCCTTCAAAACGCAGTTTATTCTGATCAAACAAATTTCATGAAGTCAATATGTCATAAATGCATTACAACAACCAAAAGTGATCATGCAATAAAATTATTTCTTCTGGAAGTGATAAGTAAATAATTGCCCGATCTAATATCACATTGATTGTGAGAAAAACACTGAAATGAGCTAATTGATTGAGTCAATTGCCTTGTTTCAATGATAAACGATTCTTTAATGAATCATTATAAATGCAAGATTAGTTTTAATGGTTCCAATAAGCGTTATTTTGTAATTAACCACCCTATCAAATATGATCAAGAGCAAATGGTTTTATTTACTATAATTATGCAATTTTCAACCGTTTCAAGATCGGATTCAGCGCTATAGTTGAACTGCAACGAATTTCCTGTATTGAAAGCTTTTAGCTTTAAAATCAGAGTAAGATCGGCAAGTCGGACATCTCGAAAATCTGCTATATAAATGGAATCTTGTAAGTTGATTGACCTCTCATTCATATCTCACATATGTTATAGCTGGACGATAAAATCAATCATTAGTCAAACCATACATTGATTAGTTAAATGAACTATTGGAAAAGTATAGCAAGAATATAACACAGTTACAGACTGATGTCACATGTTCCTGAAGGTCGAGCATGCACTGACTCTCTGATTGTAACGAAATTTGGTGTAGGCAAGAAGAAAATTCTCGATGAAGTATGACGATAGAATTGATGCAGCTTTTTTTAATAGCTAAGCTAATCAATACGAGTGTGCACAGCTCACCGTCGAAATTTGATCATTCATATTCATGCGGTTTAATTCGCGTTTAAAAGTTTAAATGCAGTCATGCTTAAGCTTAATAAATTTCAAAACTGTCATCGAAGGAAATGTGAATTCACCAAAAAAAAAAACTTTTAATAAACTCAAGGTTCTTAAGTTTCATCATGCTAGAGAACACCCATTTGTCACCAATGTCATTCGGAGGAGGTTCACGATTTTGTACGGTTTAGACACCAATATAATAGAGTGCGTCTTACCTGCTAAACAGATCGATATTGAAGAAAACATATTCTCCATTATCAAAATTTAACTCATGGGCTTTTATCATGATTTCTCTGATGGACGATGGTGAGGCACATAAAATAATAACTGAAAATAGAAAGAATTAGAGAATTATGACTCAAGCAAAAGAACAAAAATCGTCTTGATGGTTTGGTATAACCGGGTAATTTTCATTATTGCATTTTATTTCTTTAGGTATGGTGTCAGTTGACTGGTGATTCAATACATTTTGCCGGATCCGTCGCTTTCGGCATGTCTCGCGAATGACGAGAACTAGTAGCAACTTAGGTCATATCTCGGCAATTCCATTCTCTGTGATGGACGATAAGATGTAATTCTTGCAAGAAAGTGGTACAGAATATATGGTGGCAAGAGTCGCTGCTTCTTTCAGATTCACTAAAAACAGTGATTGATCAGATACCAAAAGTTGATTGCAGTCGCTGAAAATATGGTTTTCTAATTATTTTTGTCTGGTGCGTTCAATAAAAGGAACAAAGAAATAACCAACTTTGCACTGCATAGTTTTTGTACAAGTATGTAATGTGCTTTGCGTAGTGGTCAGTGGTAGCAAGACCAAGTGATGACAATGTAAATTGTTGAAACGTTGTGTACAATAAAACTAATTTGTAGTATACCATAAAATTGTGTTCTAGTAATTAATGTGATCTCTATCCCTTATGTCGCTAGAGAATTAATGAAACTTGGTGTTTCAACAACTGAAGTTGATATGTATGTTAGCAAATGCTAGCTTTTATTTATAATGTACAGGGCGCTCTGATTGAGATGAGAAAGTGTGTATTTAATATAGTTAAGAAGAATTTTAATAGCAAACTGACATCAAATACAGAAAACACATTCATTTTAAAATATCAGATTAATAATAATTTTTATAACTGGCGAAGGCGTGAAACTGTCTGGAAATTGAAAATAATAATTTCAGCATTTCATAAAAAATTACACAAGAAGTAGAACGTTCGAAATGATTATATTAATTTTGGCCAGCTGATCTCTTGTTGATCGAGAGATGAAATGCGATCCATTTATTGTGAATTTTTCAGTGAAAGTTTATGAAATATAAACACTGTTGCTGTGGTAGAACAAGTAAAATAGCACATCCTTCTGGGGATATATAATATCATGTCCTATTAATGTTATGTTAACACAGTTAGAGCAATTGTAATTGATAGAGTTGAATTCAAAATAATTTCTAACGAAGTTTTACTGCCTCTAAAATCACAATTTCCCTTTCTTAACCCCAAGAGTTATTTTCTTCTATGCTTTGAATCGGCCAAGGCCATTGATAAAAGGGAAACTTCTCAGGAAAAGGGAAATTGCAATGCTAGCGCAATAAGCTGTTATGATGCGTCAGAGTTCAAGATCCTACATTAGATACACTTTACTGTCGTCTAAAATATCAATCATTTTACTTCCAATTCGACTGGATCTCTGTGAAATCATAAATATCATTTAGAAGGTTGTGACATTAGTTAGCGCTGTCTGCAACATAATATTAGTTGATAATTTTATATATCCACACGAAGAAAGATAACACTGCAGCAGACAATATCAATTATAAAGCTATATCACAGAATAGGTACTCATTTGAACCTAAATAAGGCTTTACCAACTTATTTGAAAACTTAACAACATATATGTGTTCCAATCATTTGATTGGTAAATAACTAAAATCGATTTTAAATTATTGTATGTATTGAAATCTTAGTTAAATATTTGAAAATAAGTCAACTGATATCTAAATAACAGACAACTTAGTACAGTCTTCTAAACCCTCTAATGTAATAAATCATCTCTTGTGTTTAACAGCAGAAACAAATCTCTTCGTACCCCTAATGTTAATGCACTATCCTATGGTATTCCTCGTCTATCAATAGAACCAAAGCTCCCTGTACTTTCTTGTGGTTTTAAACCAACTTCTGGTATTCCTCGTCTACCAGAAGAACCAAAGCTCTTCGTACCCCTAATGTTAAAGGGGAACAGTCGGAATTTTCGGGGATTGATTTAGGGTCTTTATGGTGCTTTAATAGACTTAAGAAGTACTAAAACGCACGATAGCATAATCCCTTCAAATATACTTCAAACTAGAAATTTCACTGTCTATTCCTATTAGGTGTTTTCTATATATGGCATAGTCTCACTAAAATTCCTCGTCTACCAGAGGAAACAAAGCTCCTCACCCTCCCTAACGTTTATAAACCAACTTCTGATATTCCTCGCACTCGCTAACGTTTATAAACCAACTTCTGGCATTCTCGTTTACTAGCAAAAACAAAGCTCCTCACACTCCCTAACGTTTATAAACCCACTTTTGGTATCCCTCTCTACCAGACGAACCAAAGCTCCTCGTACCTCCTATAGTTTATACACTTTGTAATGGCATCCTTCGTCCACTAAAAGAACCAAAGAGCTTACTTAAAACTTTGCAGTCAACAAGTTAAATTAATGAATATTATGACACCGACCCAACTAAACTTGAAATTTTTATAAACAGTCTACGTCAACATCGCTTTTCATCCGTCATCTTTCATCTGTAACATTTTACATTATGACGAATTTATGATTTTAAACTTTTCAGATCATTTCATTTGAAAATTTCACAAAAACAACCGTTAGAAATTCACCATGCACTATTTAAGAATTGTTAATGCGCCGTAACAAATTCGTAATGAAAAGTAAGTGAAAATTTTACGCAGCTTGATTATAAGTATGAATTGTGAATAATGATCAAGAGGAGATCGAGGGGAGTTTCTCAATGGGTGGTGGTTTAAAGTATGGTAAAATCATGTCAATTGTCAGGAATAATATCTTACCTTCAAAAGGGTCATTAATTCAACCAATCACCCAGAAAATGTAGTTCCTGTAATTTCCGGAATAACTGTCATATTGATGTGCAATAGGTCGGAGACAATCGACGTTAATTCAACCAGATTACTACGCAGCGTTAAGTCTACTTTCTCATTCTTATTAAGTAGTGAAAGATAGAGGTTGAATTTTCAGTGATGTTTTCTACTAATGCGCTTTGCTGGGGAAACGTTCGGATACCCCGTTCGATCAAATATATGCCACTTTTTGGAAATTTTGATAAACCTTCAAAATAGTTTCCGATTTCTACATTGATATTTAAAGGGATTGTAAAGAGGTTTTCCAAATATTATTTGTGCATTAGGGACACTGAAGTTAGTACTACTTTGCATTAGAATATATCATATATGTAAATGCCTTTTTTTCTGATTCCATAACCTACAAGTTACATAAACTGCACCTACACTCTATATGACATCTTCACTCCACCTTATATCTGGACTGTAACAGCCATCTTTTTTGTATGATAAAATGCAGTGATTTGAGTGGATTGTACGCTAGCAAATACAGCAAATCGAAGCCCTTGACATAAAGACTGTAAACATTTATTATTTACAGATTTTCTATTGAGGCCTCAAAAGTTCTTCTTCCTTTGCGTACAATTCAATCATATGGTTGCATTTACAAACTTGTGTCACGCAAGAATTGTTGCTATTGTAGTCAAAGTATAAGACGAAGTTCATACTAGCTTGACATTGTGAGGATGACTATATAGTTGTTTTGCCACAGATCTGAATGTAGGTAATATAGTATATTTCGTTGTGTTATTTGAAGAAGGCTTATAGAAAATGAGATTAAATACAAGTGCCATAGGATCGGTAAGTTGATGAAAGGAGTGATTGAAAAATCACTTCATTTGTATTGTTCGTATTGAAAATATCTTAACTAGGTTACTATGTCGGAACAGCCAATTCAATAAGTGTTAATCGTATTGTCCTTCTTTTCTGACCAATGGTCCATTCTAAAGAGCACTTCATTGACCAAACTTAATGGCAAATTGGCTATTTCTGGAAACGGCTTACTTACGCTTGTCCAAAAGAATAATTGATATAAAAGAAAGGGAGTTGATACGTGACAGATTATTTGACGAAGTAATATTAGCTATTATTTCAGGCGACGACATTTAATTTTTTAGTCAAGAAATATTGTCAAGTTCGTGGTTATCAGATAGGCTATAAACTGCACTATTCCATGTCAATCAAAAATATCAATGACATTTAATACATTATATTATTCAACAATCTTTACCACAATTATTTTCAAGAGAATTGTATAGTCAATCAGAATTATTTCTATGACTTCACGCTTACTACAACCAGAACAATCCCTATGAAATTTTGTGTTGTGTTGTACAATTAGAATAATTGCTACATCTTTTTTGTTTTTCAATCGCTATACTGTGTTGTGTTGTACAATTAGAACAATCACCGTCGTGTTGTACAATTAGAAAAGTCACTATTCATTATAGACAACGGTATGTTGCACGAGTTTGTATATGATAAATATTTTCTAGAAAAAAATACGCATTTTGAATATAGATACACTAAAGTTTCAATACTATTCTATAATATCTGCCTGGCATCATTGTATAAGTAATCTCCGCACAATATCATACGTATACTTGAAAACGATATCGCAAACAATGTGAACGCCTTAAAATGATTGTAATTAATGGGGTATTTTTTGTAAAAAAAAAGTTTTCATTATCAAACGTCGTAAATTATTCCTGAAAATATTTCTAAAGTATGCTATTTATATCTATGTATCATCTGAATTTGTTTTAAAAGGGTTAATTAATTAAAGACGGAGACTACTATTTGTTGATTATGCAGTTTGACCTAGTTTTGGTGTTTGGCTTGATTGGTTCGGTATTATTAGTTGAAATCTTCGGAAAACGTAGGAGGCATATTTTTCTACAATTAGGTATTTATTTTACTCAAATCCATACAATAAGCTTCCAATAAGCATAACGAACTTTACGTAATGTTTTTAAATACTTTTGGAATTTAAAAGTTAACGGCTGGATATTTTGGTTAAAACTTTCAGATACGTTAAAGGCCACATTTCTCTAGATTTTGATTTTTTGACCTACAAAAAGCGGAATGTCCCTTTAAAGAGGTTTTTGAGAAACGCCTCGGAAAGTTTTCAATCATGCAAGGTCTTTGTGTCCAATTATCAGGTATAGATAAGTAGAGGCATAACGGTAA